CTTGTTTATAGACTTTAGCCTAGCCCAAAGTTTTTTTTTTAAAAAAAGAAGCGTGCATTGAGTCGGATTGATTTCAATCCAGCCCGACCTTAATTCAAAAATTTTTTCAAAAGAGGGAAAGAGGCAGAAGGTTATTTTAGTCCAAACTTCCGCCCCATTTCCCACCCAAAATAAAAAGGAAAGAGGTTGGACTAGTTTAAGTCCAGTCTCTCTCATTTCCTTTGAAATGGGCAAGATTGATTCCGACCTAGCTCGAAAATAATAATAATAATAATAATAAATAATAATAATAAAAAATGAAGAGACAGAAATAAGGACTAAAAAAGGGTAGTAAAAAAAAAGGAAAAGGAAAATTTGAACCAAAATAATAATAATAATAATAATTTTCATTGGGATTTAAATTTTAAATTTTATGCATGTATATTTTTCGATATTTAATTTAGATGTTTAATTGTCTTTAATCATTTTTAATTAATTTATTTTTAATCTTAAATTTATTGCATGTTTGTTAGTTATATTTAATTTAGAATTTAATGTTTAAATTTTTTGTAACTATTTTAATTAATGCAGCTTTTAATCTTTATTTTATTTTATGCATGTTTTTGTTATTAATTTTGATTTCAGTATTTGAATTTTCTTTAATTTACTTCATTAACGTAACTTTAATTAATTTATTTAGTAATTAGACTCAGTACGTAATAGTTGGAGGATTGTCAAGTCTCCTAATTCTTTAGGGACGATCTTTCACCAAATAAAAGTAAAAGAGAAAATAAAAAAATAAAAATCATAAAACGTTTAACAAAGTTTCCTATTTGATAGGGATTGTTGCTAGCAAAAAAAGTTGTTAGCAAAAAAGAATTCATTTATAATCGGGATGTTCTCCGACACACCGGTTGTGTCGAGGCTTAAAGTGGATTTGATGTTTGAATCGATGTATCTCCTAACGACGGGGTCTAACAATCATTTTAATATGATCCTATGTCTAAAAATAAAAAAACTTAATTTGGCTTAGAAAATTGGAGTTCAAATAAAAAATAATTTAACATAAATAAAACATTTTAGGAGATGAATTTAGGATTAAACTAGACGTGATACATTTCTTCGAAAATGATGCATTTGGGTGATTAAATATCTTTTCAAAATCGTAACCAACTCCTTACTATAGAGTCTCCGAACTAGTGCCTATTTTAGCTTTCTAGTTTTTTCAAGATTAGGTGATGACTTCAAACTTATAAATAATTTTCTACATAAATAAATCTTAGATTTTTATTAATAATAATAATTATTTATTATTCTTGAGGAGAATTGAAACTTTGGAATGAGAATGAGATTTTTATTGACAACAATCATTTGTTGCCATTATTATCATAACTTTCTCATCCGTTATAGCCACTATAGTCATTGAGGACAACGATGGGGTCATATTGATTTGTTTTTTTCATAATAATTATCATAATATAAATTTTTGAGTTATATTTATTTCTCAAATTTTATTTCTTTTGGGTTTTACTTATCATTTTTGTTATTTTGTTATTTTTTTAATGATTAATTTCAGTATTTCTTATTAAAAAACAAAGATAAAAAAAAAATCAAAATCTCACAATAATTGTGATCAGCCAAAAATATTTTTCTTCAATGCGTATTTTTGAATTCTAATTTGACCGTCATCCATCATCACTAAACCTCACCATCATCACTAAACTTCACCATCATCATTATTTATTGAGTCATTTTTCTATCATTATTATTACTTAATTAAAAAAATTTACATTTCATTCTGATTCTACGTTAAAACTCCAAATATAATAAAATCAAAACCTTATTCTAATTTCTTGATACTTCATTTTGATTTCTTATTATTCATTATAATTCCTCAATTTCCATCATATATAACCTTTTGTTTTCGCCATTCAAACGATCCCTAAAGTACAAATAAGCTAAATTATATGGTATTTTTGTATTTTCTTTTCATTCCGTTTGGGAAAGGTCATAAAAGTACATTTCATGAATATCAAACAATTTTTTTTCTTGTTAAATATATTTGGTCCTTTTTTTTTAATTGAGTTAAATAAAATAGATTGAGTTTAGCTATTTTCCCACATGCATTTTCTACAACGAATTTTAAGTTGTATTTGAAAGATTGAGACATTAAACATAAATTATTGTAAACCATCATTAGATTTTATAATAACCAATTAAACTATAATTAAATGACAAGGCATACTAGAAGGAACTTAAATCAAATTGAATAAAAACTTGTTTGAGTGATGACTACAAAGCACATGGCCATGTTGGCATCTGGTGGAATATTCACTTACGAAAAAGTCAAAAGCCTTTTAGGTATTTAATTTGACATTTTGGTTTTGGCCGGCCAATCATTTGAAGTGAATGCCAAGGAAACAACCTTGATCTCTCTTCTCCTCCAAGTTGTGAGTACGAACCACACCAGAGCACGGCACGAACATGACCAATCGATGATTAAACTTTTTATCAGTGATATTGTTTTTTTTTTTTTTTTTTCCTATTTATCATTATAAAATAATTAAATAAATTAAAGTTATTAAGATTTGAATATTTTATAAATTACCGAATATATAACGATTAATTTATGTTTATTTGTTATTTTATAATATTATAATATAAACTTTCAACCGTTAAACCATTTTTCCTCATCCAAAAGCAGTTATAATGTTAATATAAGCTGGAATTTCCACAAGAGGGAGGATTCATAACTTCATTTAAATTAGGGTGTCAAACTAAATTTGAAACTGGAATTCTTCTTCATGAATTTAGACAATCTTAAAGGTTCTTGCAACAAAATCTAAATATGAATAAGGATAGATTTACTTGGTTGGGCTTAGCCAAAGGATATATATGTATATATTCCTTTATTGCCTGCCAAATCTTAGCACAGATATTGAGAAATAAAAATCCCAGCAATTTCCTAATCACACGTTAACATGTATAGTTTGTCTTTCACCGGAGTACGTAGAAAAAGAAACTCAATCTTGACGTGCAAAAAAAGCTAACCTAAAAATACTATATGATAATACAAAAAAAAAAAAAAAAAAAACAAGAAGAAGAAGTATGAGTTAGGATAAAACTAATAATTCTTAGAAATAGAGTTACATTAAGGATGGAAACAAATAGTTAATTATAATGGAATATGGGAGCTGATAAAATGATTGACTTTGCCTCTCGATTTTATATTAATTCATAAACCAATATCGAGATCAAATTTTGAAATATTCCGATCAATCAAGATCTATTTGGTATTATTATACTGTATGGTATTGCATTTGAAGTAAAATGACATTAGTAAAAATAGCATTTGGTAATTAATTGTCATGTTTTAAGAAATCCTATTTCATTATTAGAGCATGAATACTCTGATTTGTTTGAAAAGAAACAATTTCCTTTTAAATAGACATGTGAATTAACAATGTATGAATTTTATGTTGGTGATTGATGAAGATATATACTTAGATGAAAAATTATTCACATAATCAAAATATATAATTCAAAATTAGATATTAGGGTTAAGAAGTAAAATTTTTTGAGTTTGACTTGTTTAAAAATAGAAAAACTAAAAAAAAAAAACACACACACACACATCCCATTAAACTTCTGGCTAGGTATATACTTTAATTTGCTTTGAAAGCAAACTAGCCTTACCAAGCTCTAAAACATTCGTGCTTTTAAAATACAACAAAAACGAAAAAAAAATAAAATGTAAAAGTAATTTTCTTTTCTTGGTTCTTTTTTCATGATCGAATTAAAATATAAAGAGTGAATAAAAAAAATAATGAGAGGACGATATTGTATTCAAATGTACAAGGGAACGTGTGTGTATAATCCACAAATTAATATTTTTATTCTAATATAAGGAAGCCAAATATAATTGAATTATCACTCTATTTATCAAAACAATGATCAATTTCCCCTTCATAAAATGATCTCTATATCTTGATTTCCAACGCATTACTAATGTATAATTTTTTATTTTTATTTTTTACTTTTTAACAGTTTGCAATGTTTTAGTTCAATTGGATTTAAATTCTCAAGTTCTTAACACCTACGTACTAACAATTTACAATGAGTATGTTTTTAATAAAAAAGAGACATTCATGAATATTTGGGGGGGCGGGGGATATGTTGCCATTCCTTGTTAATTTAAGATATTAAGAACTTGAGGGGGAACTGTACTTCCCAATGTTAATGGCCGATGGGTCTCCAGCTAAACCCAAAACGAAAAAAAATATTAACTAGGAATTTAATTATTAGAGTCCCAATTTTCATTTATCCCTAAAAACACAAGTGAAAAATTTCTCAAAAGGGTAAACTGGTGGTGTCTTTTTCTTCTGAAAAAAACAAATATATTTGCATGCAAGAGATTCCCATGTTAACTTTGTTGCCATCATTACCAATCAATTGTGCGAAAATTCCTGGTACAAGAAGTTGTTTGCCCATTTACAACATAAACCACAACAAATCTTGGCAACTCATATACATAAATCATTTTTCAATTTCAAAACTATTCAGCAAACTGCCAATAATTCCATAGACATAGAGGATAACGAAATAAAACAAGAAGAAGAAGAAAGAGATGCATGGTGAATAAAAAGACGGTGAAACCAATAAAAATCTCAAAGCTGAAATAACACAGTCATCCATAAGCATGGTTACCTTGTTATCAACTAAACCCATCATTGAGATAGCAAATTGGCCAATTGGTATTCATTTTGTTTTTTTGGAATAAGTTAATGAAAATCCATTCTGGGACGGCAAATTATGCTTACTTAATTACAAAGGGATCGTGACAGATTTCAGAATTGGAGTTTTATTCACTTACTACACTGAAATCAAGGCAAAGAAAAAAAAAACTAAAAATTAAAATATCTAAAACTTTAAAAAAAGAGGTTTCCTTTTCTTTTTTGTTATCGTGTGGTGCAATCAATCGCACCCCTTTGAATTTCATCACATAAACAAACGACGTGTCGTCAGCAGATCTGAACCTGTGGTCCAACGCCACTACGGTGGTGCCTGAATACCGAAGAGCACTCCGGCAACTCTCCAAGATCTGCAAACAACGACTCATCCTCCTCTCTCATCGGGAAAAACATTGATGCCATGTCAGCATCCGCCTCTGCCACTGCAAAAATGGGTGTCTCAAGTATAGTTGAAGAGGTAGTCTCCATTTCACCAAACCAAGAAAACTCATCTGAAGTTGTCGTATTAGATATAAGCGACCCGTCGTTTCCAAGATCCTTGAATTTTTCTTCGGGTTGCGTTTCTGGGTTTTCAGCTTGGGTTGTGGAGACTTCAGGTTTGGTGGTGTTGTGTTTTGGAGAGGAGTTATGGTGGCTGCTGTGGTGGTGGTGGGTACTTCTAGAAGGAGGGGGCCAAGGGTGGTTGTGTTCACAGGAGTAGGTGACCACTAGCATTGTTGGGTCCAATTTGCTCCTCTCTACTTGTTTTCTAGCTGGACAACCCTTTGAACTACTACACCTATAATATCCTCTGCAAGAAAAGAAGTACCTGATCAATGTCTTGAAAATATGGATCAACATTTTTCATCTATCTTGTTTATGTTCAAATAGAAAACATGTTCCTATAATCATCTTCTGGTTATATATATATATGCATTTGATATGTAATTAAATGCATAAAAAAAATAAAACAAACTCCAAATCAGAAAGCAATCTGGACAATGTCTTAGGTTTAAACGACGATTTTTTGCCAGATCTGTGTTGAAAAAACTAGTCAATTTATCGTGTTGGCAAACAAAAAATTTTCTTTAAGATTTTGATAAAATTTATTTGAATAATTCTTTAACTCATCATATTTTTCAAAACAATATGGCTCTGGCTAAAAAAAAATTTCTGTTCCCATAATTTTTTATGATGAAATCTCATTCTTTCTTTCTTCTGGAACAGAAAGAATTTGTCCAAATGCATTTGAATAAGATGCTCTTATCTCAAAGAAAAAAAAAAAAAGAACAAAAAGAAACATAAAAAGAAAAGATGCGTGATTGGATTTGCAAGAGGAGTAAGGGGGTTACCTGGGGTAAGGCGAGCCTTTGATGGGTTTTTGGCCATACTTTCTCCAAGCCCAAGAATCAGACGGTGGTGGACCATTTTCGCCCTTCAGCCTTGAGCCTTCCAAGTCTTTGATTGGCACTGACACAACTCTCTTTTGAATGGCCTTCTTACTGATACAAACACCATTATGTCAAAAATTTCGTCCTCCATAATCGCAGGTACAAATTTTCGTGGCAACCTATCAATATAATAACGTTCCGGCACGAATATATACAGTGGTACTGGATAGTCATAACAAGTATGAGCATGTTTTTTCTTCCTCTTTCTCCAATTAAGCCCATCCCATGATCTCAAACTGTGCAAAATACTTCTGATTAATTCTAATTAACGAGATATGTAAGTAAGGATTAAGTACCTTCTCTTTGGGGAGGAAGTAGAAGTCATCTTCATATCGTTACGAGGAGGTGATTCTGGACCACTTTCTTGCGTACTGTTGTCATTTTCTTCTTGCTCACTTATTAATGCGTTGATGTTGAACCCGCTATCCATTATTGCACTTTGAAGCTAGCCGCCACAACTATAAGCTGGTATCTGTATGTTGATTCCCTTAACAAAAGCGGATATTTAGATGCCGGCTAAGATGATGATGATGATAATAGGAGAGAACAAGAAGAGAGATAGGGAGAGAAGATAATTAAGAAGGGGTTTAGTTGGTGATGAGAAGAGAAAAAAGAAATGGGGAGAAGGTGGAGAAAGAGAGGTGACAGCCCTTTTAAAAATTGGCCGCCATGTTGACAGATGAGCTTTAGATATTAGATTATTAAGGACGTGCAAGCTAATGTGACTATAATCCAAAATTTATTATTTTATTACAGTGTGATGACGACCTTTTATTTCTATAAGTTTGATTATTCTAAACCCATGTACTGATTGGAGATCCACTAATCAATGCAGTTCTTTTTTGCCTCTAAATTATACCATGTCTCCTTTTGTCTTTGTTAGGGTTTTTTTTTTTTTTCCTAACAACCATCTAAGCTTGTTTAATAGGAATACATAGTTTTTTTTTTCTTTTTTCTTTTTTCTTTTCTTCTTTTAAAAAGAGGAGTTTCAGACTAAATTTTTTTTTAATATATCGTATGATTAAAATGGTTTGGGACGGAATTTTTTTTTTTTTTGAGCTCTACAATTATTCAATTAAGACATATTAAGAATTGATCATTTAATAGTACTTCCAGTTCATGTTTACAATGTACACAACCATAGAATATAAATATGCTCTATGCTCTCTTCCATTCGAAGGAAAATTTTATTTTAGTGCGCATGATCTTTTTTGCTTCATAGAAAGAAAAAGAGAGATTTGATGAGGTTATCCATTTCCTTATTTTAAGTTAATAGAATATCCTTATGGTAGATATAGTTTCTACGTTCATGATCTCATCAAATTTGGACTTCTTAATTTTGATCTTAATTAACACCAATTCTTTAATCTTTAATTACTTCATCTAGCTTTCATTGCGATATCTCTAGTTGTATTAAGGTCAAATTAATAAAACTTATCCTGATTTCCTTGTTAATTAATTAACTAATAATTTACAGGTTTCTTCATGACAGTTTCCAATAACAACCAAGTCGATGTCTCATAAACGACTAAGATTATTTCCAGTCTTCGTTAAAAATTCAAAAGGCCTTTCAGTATTCTCTTAAATTTCAGCAGGAATGTCATGATGGCACATCAATTTATTCTTGTCCACAGTTATAAAAATTTTTTCATGAAACAAATGATTATATTTCACTGCATTTCCTTGGCAACTACATGAAATTTTGGTTTGATCTGTTCCATCAGCATGACATCTCTTCGATGCAATTCATAGAATAAAGATATAACATACCATTATGTGACCAGATCATTTTTTTGATTATTATGCAATGATGAAGACGAGGCAGTCAACGAACTATTATATGCAATATTACTAAAAAAGCTAATCATGTAAAATACTATACATTTTAATTCATATCGGTTGAAGAGTTTTTCTAAAAAAATAAAAAAAGAGAAAAGAAAAGTATTTTGATGGGTTCTATCTAGACAATTAATGATGGACCATATAGTCTTCAAATTAATTTGGCCTGGTTCTAGATATTATACTATACATTATCCGGAATCCTTGCCATTGTTGACTAAGTCACTTATTGCTAGCTCTATCGGTCTCTCTCTCCTATAGGAAAAGCATGGAAAAAGCCCATTGGCTAATTTGTTACATCAAAAATATCAAAATTCAACGTTCTAGCTAGAGTAAATTGATGCGTCAAGCAACGTGACTGTGACATTTTCTTTACCATACAACTTTGCCTATTCTGATATTTTATTAGGTCAAGTTGCATGCCACTGACTTTAATTCATTAATTCATACCTCTACTTATAAATATATCGTTCCCATCTCTGACTTTCGTTACCATTAACCACGGCAGCTTTGGTGCATCTCTTTCTATTCCTATTTTATTTGTTTATTCATTTGTGAATTTTTTTTCCTCGCAACAATTACTTATGCAAGAAGAAGAAATTTCCTCATGACTTCCTCTTTCGTCACTATTAATTTTATCTCTTCAAACTTCCTCCTAGCTAACTGACAAACACATGCTTTTTTTCCTTTTTAGCATTTAAATTGCATTATGGAACATTGGCGTGTTAAATTATTATGGAACAAGACAGTATTCTTCATCATACCCAATATCCAATGGAATGTATATGTCGCCGGTTCCGATCCAAGCAATATGGGATAAGAATTATGTATGACTATATATAATTAGACAATAGAATGTACGTATAAAACTGCGGGTCATAAGTGCAATTCCAATTGTGCCAGTGGCCATGCTCTAGACTCAATTTTCACAAGTTCATTACGCACAAGAGTTCACTATTTCAAAATTCTATGAATATATATATGACAACAATAGAATGTGAAATTTAAGGAATTTGTTAAATTTCTACAATACTTTTGTGACCGTAATAACCGATGGTGTATATGTATAACTGAGGCTGTGGAGCTTGTCTGCCAAATGCAAATGTAGTTGATGTTGTTGCTACGGATTTTTTTGTTTTTTTTCGTCATATCAAGTTCAAAGCTAAGAGAAAAAGTGATATATCTGATCCCCAAATTTAGTTAAAAAGTTTACAAATATTAAGATTAATTTTGTCTTGCTGTTTAGTGGGATGAGATTTATTTTGTTCCACAAAAAAATTCTAAAACTAAATATAATTCTCACAAATCATTTTTTTTAAAAAAAGAAAAGATCGTGACTAATAAACGGGTCAGAAAAACTGTTACCGTTTTATGACAGAATATTTGATCACAAACATGCATTTTTTTTTTTTTCAGATATTTTTCTGTCGCAAACACAGTTTGTCATGGATTTGGGCCATTTTGTACCGAATTTTCTGTCTCTAATTGAGTGTTTTTTGTTTTGGTGATTCAGGGAAGAACAACTCAATAGTTGCCTCCACGCAGATTTGTAGTTGGCAAATAATTCATAACCAGAATCTTTCAGGATATGTTGTTATCTAGTGTACGCTATCAAGCGGGATAAAGTCGCCTTATCATGCACCTTCAACTATTATTATTATTGAAATCACTTTTATCATTTTATGGTAAATATTTGCAATTCAAAACGATAATCTCTCAAGATATATTGTTACTAGTGGATTCTTGCACTATACTGCAAGTCGAATAAAATAAAATTGTTTTATAATTTTTTATTTAATTAATTTTGTTATGTTTTTTGTAATTTTTCTACTAAAGATATGATTTATTCTTCTTTATGCATTAATTTTTAAATACAAACTTGTAATGATTTTAAATTAAAATATTAATCAAGAATTAAAAAATACTCTAAATATATATATATATATATATATATATATATATATATATATATATTCATAAGAATGCATTAAAGAAGTAAAATTATAATTAATGTATAGACTTGTATAAAAATTAACTAACAAAAAAAAAGTTTTTATTCTTATTTAATGCTAATGAAAAGATTATTTTTGTACAAAAATTATTCATTTGGATTTTTTTATTTTTAATTAAAAATTGGTCTTTTAAAATCATTTAGAAACTATGCATTTGGTAGAAAAACTAGAAAGCTATGTGGTGTGGGAATGTAGACTTGCAATGTTAATATATACTACTTTGAATTTAACGAAGATTGCGTGTACTTAATGGTCGTTTGTTGGATTGTGTTCTTGAATCATCTATCGGTTTAATCGCATCAAACGTCCTTCTACTCTTGATTTTTTTTTTTTTTTAATGTGGCTCCTATACTTTTTTTTTCTTATTCAACAACTTTTTGTACTCTTCAATTTTTTTTTTAAATATGACCGCTCTCATTAAAATCCAATCAATCTTTTGATTGGTGATGACAGAATGACACAAGAATTGCCACATGGCATGACACATTAGAAAACATTTTCCACGTGGCCTAAAAATAAATTACATAAAACGAAAAAAAAACCTAAGTATAAAAGCTCTTTTATTTTTCTCTCTCCTATCACAATTGAGAGAGATTAATCGAGAATAACAAGCCTATTAACTTCCTTCATCATTTGGCTTCAATTTTTTATTCACCATTGATTCACAAGCAATTGAACTTAAAAATCCTTCAATCTCGTATGTTATTCTAGCATAATCATTATTCAATAGCCCAAAACCCTAATTTTTAAAAGCCCCAAATTCAAAACCCTAAATATCTCATCTAGTTTTTTAACATCAAGTATTTGTTACTATTGATTGAAGACTTGTCTTTATTGTCCCCTAACCGAGTATCAATTGATTCTTCTTTTCTCTTACTTTGTATTGCCATAAAGTGGATAATAATAATAATAATAATATTTTTCCAAAAAGGTAATTTGTTTTATCCTTCATTGTCAATTTATTATATCCGTGTTATTTGTTTAATCGAGTAATGGTCCTTATTGTTGTAGGGATAGCTTAATAACGCAATAAAATGGACAACAAAATAGAAAAGGAATAGAGCATTGTTTTGGGACCCTAATTGTCTCATGTGTGGTCTTTGATTTGTTAACAAGATAAATTTTTTTATTCTCAATCAACTTATTATGTTGTATATTATTTTTGGACCCTAACTACCTTATGAGTTAACTGGTTTCTATTTTTCTTTATTGGTTCTGTTTGACAAATAAAGACATTTACTTTTATTTGGGTAGGTGTGTGAAAAAGTTAATGGATCTAATAGGCTTATCGGTTGAATATGTTGGTAGGTGTGTCTTTGAGAAGGAAAATATTGATTCGAGTTATAATGCTTTAGGACTCTCTTAAAATTAGTAGAGCAATTTGGTAGAAAAAGTATTATGTTTATGTATTACAATGGTTCTTTTATTATACCACAGTCTCAATCTTTGTTTCTTAGGTTAGTGTATAATGACAAAAGTCTAATAAGGTTGTTAATCTTGATAGAGAAAATTGAAAAGGTTGACATTTATTATGAACATAGAGGTAGAGACCACCCATTAATCATTAATGGTAGTTCAT